TACTGTACCTGGCTGGTATTGTAGTCATGAAGACTCAGGCTTCTCTGATCACCTACTATTCCTCTTTAGTCATTCAACAGCCAATCGTTGCCAAATAGTTTATGATGTGGTGGCTCCTTGACATTCCTACGTGAGCCCATGTGGTATGATGGGCATTGTCTCTGCAGTATACTGTACCTGGCTGGTATTGTAGTCATGAAGACTCGTGCGTTCTCTGGTCGCCGCAGATTATAGACATTACCGGACACTGACGACTCGGACGATTACAGGCGGAGATTTCACGACTTGGGAGAAAGTTTGCCTACAGCAGATTGTTCTGTTTCCATTGTTTTGTTTTGTTATGGTGTGTAATAAGTCTTTTACTATTGTAAACTAACGCTCCTATATAACCTATACACAAAATTACTCGTATTTTAACCATACGATTAAACCACACCATTACCATTGAACCACACCATTTTTCTCTAAATTAGTCGGTTCAACTTCCTAGGTATTTGGAACCAATTATTCGATCGTGAAGAAACTTAGCAACAAAGCAACGAAATTAAAGCTTCCCATATCGAACTATATATAGTTTGATGGCGTCGCCTGTAGAACGAATTTTATATCACGATAACTTTGTTTCGTCAAGCCCTAGTGTTTTGTCTTGTCATAAACAAAGTGAATTTAGCATGCCGGATTTATTTACTTGATTTTTCGGGGTAGGAAGGGGGGGTTATTGGGTAAGGGTGTTAAACGAGTTATGCCCAATTTTGGTTAGTATAGGTCCATCGTTAAAAGCTAGGGTTTTCTTACATTTTGAGATCAGCGCGATACGTACCGTTTTACCATTGACTATCAATGCTTCAACGCGGTGGGCAAGGCGCTGGTGGTTTCCTGGTTCCGAAAAGGAATGCGGTATAGCTATGACCAGACTTGTGATAAATAAGTCAGTCAATCCGAGTTTTTGTCATAAAGGTAAGAAATGATTACTATCAACTTAAGTAAACAATGAGATCGAAGATTAAATAGACTCGATTGTGTTCACCATGACTTTTTGGTTGTCGTCATTCAACCATCAATTTTGAATATAGTGACACTACACAGGTCAAAGCATCTCTTGTAAACATGTATGAGCCAAAATACCACTATGTTGGGCTTTGCGGTCCGCCGTCGGTGGGTGGTCTAGTGCGTTGCTTTTGTTGATCTAAGGTAGTTTTCGTTTGATAGATATACTTTAAGCTGTATCACACAATGAAGATGTGTAAATGTTTAATCTGTGGTTGAACGCCCTCACAAACTATATAGAAACACTGACAACCCAAAATTACGAGACATCTGCGAGGTAGGCTATGACAGTAAACTAAAGTCTTGACCGAAGATGTTACATTTTTATTTCTGTTAATTTATAGCTCAAAAGTTGACAGTTGACCTAGATTCCATCGAGAAATGAGTCTTGTGACATTTGCATTGGAGCAGGAAATATAATTCGGTGATCGGTGCGGAGTAGAGTGTTTGGTTACATAAATATCCTTACATGGTCATGGCTGTGGTGCCAGTGACAGTTGGGGGGCTGCTGCTGCTTCTAGTGTCACTCGACATATGACTCTTGTTTACTTGGGAGTACTGTTACGTCGTACTGTGGTACTGGTAACTGGTATATACAGCGTGTCCCATATGAAAGTACACACATTTTGGGAACAGGTTAAATACCCATTTAACCTGTTCCCATTTAACTAAATAAAACTTTTTCCAAAAACACCTCGTTACCGAGATATCCTCAAACCTTTTTTTTAATTTTTAATTTATATCCAAAAACTATTTGAGTTATCCTCACGAAATTTGGTATGCTCTTTAAGAAAGTGCTAAACTGTAATAAACCATAAAAAATGTATATTAATTATTAAAGTTTGAATAAATAGCGTAAAAATCACGTTTTTAGGTACAAAAGAAGGCGCACCTGCTTGGCCTTATTTTGCCTGGCTTTTACAACTAAACATCGTGATTTCTCAGCTATTTACTATTGAATCATTTCAACTAGAAGTGGTTTTATGGATAGTTTAATGTTAAACAAATGTGTACTTGACATTATTTCACAAAATCAGCCATTTTAAAAACTAAAATTAAATTTAAAAAAATTAAAAATATTTAAATATTTTAAAATTAGTGATACAATTTAAAATACCGCCATTTTGTAACCAAATATTATTATTGGTTATTTAATAATGGTTCAATGAACTTGAACGGTTATTTTTATGTTTATTTAAAACAAATGGATTATTATTCAACCTCGTTCGCTTTTTATAAAACGATTGGTTTGGTTGAACAATTACCAGTACGTAAACAATGTATATAGTTGTACCAAACATCATGTAGGGCCCTGAAGGGTGGTAGAGACGACCTTTATATGACCTTTATAGGGCATCCCTGATATTTCATCACCACTTGGCGCTAGTCCTGGCGGTAAAATGCCGTTCCTACAAATTAATATTGTGCCACTATTTATTACAACAATTCCAGTTTTTTTATTCAATGTGTATATAGAAAGATCATTTTGCTCCTTCATTCATATATGTTGGCATGCAGCTGAATTTTTCAACCGGTTTATTTAGTTGATTACAAAAAAAGCGTGTCCATACCCAAAAAAATGTATAAAACCACGTCTGCTTGTGAGTGACATTTGGCAAAACCTTTACCCCTCTTTATTTGTTTTATATCAATACTGTTTTTTTTACATAAAGATAATTGGTTTCATTTTTATTCTCTAGCTTGCAATATGTTTTGATGTGTTCGAATATTTCCTCAATGAATATTAATATTGAGTTGCTTTTTTGTTAAATTTAATTTAATACTTGTTGGTAATTTTTTCTTGTTAGGTACAAAGATAAGTCATAAAAATATGCTACAGAAATAATATAATACCGAATAAAGGGTTATGATTTCTTTCCATTGTCCCTAGGCGGGTTTTTTAGTAAATAAATTCACAAGGTATGTAAATAGTTCTTTGGTAGTGCATAATAGCCTGCTATTGAATGGTTAGATAGTTTGGGAGATGCCATCTCAGATTAAGGAGAAGCATGGAAGATCGTTAATGTGTATGTTGGTCAAATCTACCTGGGCACTGGCCCGGGCTAGTCCCAGGTAAATGGCGGGTCAGGAGATAGGTTCAATCATACAGACTATAATAGGTCTTTCCACTACATGCTCGTGTTACCTACTCTCTAAACCTAAGAACCATACGTGAATTGCGAACTTATGTTTCGCCGACAGTTTCCCTCCCATTGTTCTGTTATCACACTGTCAAGATAACACCGGTCAGGCTTCTGTGTTGTATAACAAGTGTTGCTGATAATAATGATAACAACAGCTGACTGTTCTGTGAACTGACCGACGCGACGCACTGTACTGTGACTCCTTCTGAACAGTGTTACCAACTAAGTAAATACTAATGTTTTTCTTTGAGAAATGTATAAAACATGCTCTTTTATTATCTCAAGGAAAGGTGTGAGGTTTAAGAAAAGGCTTTACATATTCAGCCCGGCATTGTACATTATTTTTCTCAAATAATTTATCTTAAAATATTTTTAAATAACAAAAAATAAAAATCTTGGCTATTCATGTTATTTTCATGAATTTGGTTGAATGTACTTTCGTGGTTATCCAGAAAAGCAGTTTAAACTGAAAAGTGTTAAAATAACCGAGATATTATTTGAGGCGTTCGGCGTATATAGGCCTATGTTTCCTATTAATTTAGAATTCTACACGAATCGTCTCTTATGCATGATTTGTTGTTGTAGAACATATCGTGATGTGTTGTGAGGAATGGAGGATATTTCACGTTGCTCAGACAGAAATTACAAATCACGTCGGGATCGGTGAGATAAATTTCCCTAATCCAGACGATTCGTATTATTTCCCTACCAATTTGTAGAAAGGTCGTCTAGCAAGGACATTGTTCTCCAGCACAATAATTCCTCGTCTTCCTAGGTAGATGTTTGCCACAGTGTTGACTTCAAACTGTACAATGTTTTGTAATATTCATCACAAATATTGTTGTTAGTACAAATACTCTATATTGTATATTAGGAACATTGTATTTTGTTCGCCCTAATTTTAGCTGACGTTCGTAGACGATATCCTCTCTGTTCTTGAATTTGTTTTAGGCTATCAATTAGTAGTCCACAAAAAAAAACTCTTGCCGTGTAGTGACATTAGCTAATGTTTGACACCTAATATCCTTAATGATAATTAGCAGCCAAAGCAAAGTAATTAATTGTCAGTCAACCAATGCCAGCTTAGCTTGAATGTACTTTGTCGATTTTGCTTTGTGTTTTTCTAGTTCTAAACATGTGTCCAATTAATTTATTCGAATGGAATCATTTAATAGGTTGTTTATAATTGCTAGGAGTATAGAGGTTTTAGCTTTATACATTATGTAACCAACACACTTTATAAAATATTTTTTTTGCGTTTTATAAAATTTTAGAATAATAATTTACTAACTTCCAATTCAATATTCGTGTGGCAACAATCTTTATACTGTAGCTTAAAAGTACTCATAATTTATTTGAGAAAATTTGTTTTAATTACTTGTACTTTGCGGATAGTATTTGTTTTAAACATTCTTAAACTTAACACCAAAATCATACTGCAGCGATATGGCCATTTTCCTTCCTTGCTTGCGGGTCTCTAAGTGTACCTTTTGCTGCCTAAAGCAAAAAGTAATCAGTGATATTGAAAGTATGCATTGTTTTCCATTGTAGTCTACTTCATTGTTGTTTGATCCTCCAGATGATGAAGTTGATGACACAAGTCAAGTGTTACATTTTATTAATTGTATTACTTATTTCAGATAGCTCTGGTATATGATTTGATGTCAAATTTGATGTATTGACTTGTGTTGATTAATTAGAAGAATCAATCTAAATTGGTTGATCTTTTTCAGCTGCTCTCTGACATAGATTACCTAGTCAAAATTATTTCCTATGTTTTAACTGACCACCTACCGTTGTTGTGTGCAGGTTTACTGAAGGGCTCCACTACCACTGATGGTGTAGGCTCTGCCAGAGCTGAGAGACCCAAGACTCTGCGTCGCCTGAGGGCCGTGTATGACCAAGGTCAGGGGTCAGCAGCCTCAGACATGAAGCAGCGACCTCCCGAAGACCCGTCCTCGGGCCCCGGCTGCGGCGTGCTCAGCCCCTTCGACGAGCAGGAGGAGTGGGCCAAGATATCCGAGATCATGGCCAGCTTCGGCACCGGCCTCGTCAGAGAGTCGGTGTTTGTCACGGAGTTGGAGAAGGAGTTCCAGGCTAGACTAGGTTGGTGAATTGTTGGTTATCCAACGGGAGACGGACTGAATTTTACCTGAGATTTTTTTTTGCCGAGATTTGATAGTTGCAGCACTAATGAATGTTCAGGGTGGGACTGGTTGTCCAGCATTTGCATGGGACTGGATTTTCAATACTTGAAAAGAAGAGAAGCTACCCAGAGCCTTAAGCATTATTGATGTCCTAGGGATTAGATTAGATTGGGTTTAGTATGGACCCTATCTTGATATAACACAAACATTCCTTAAAATTGTATTGATTCATGTAGTGCATGCAGCTTGGTACCAATATCTAAGGTTTACCTGTTTTTCAAGTGTTGGACAACCATTCCTCCACTGGTTTTTCTACAGGAAATAGTGCAGTATTTTTCTTTTTAGTTAATTATCATAGATAATGATGCAGTATGATGATCCTTCGCTCAGTCAAGTTTGTCACTGTCCTAATGATGAGATATTTACAATTAAGCCCTATTAATTTTTTTTTAACCTATTAAAACAGTATGACATCTTCTTTTTGAAGTGAACCAATTTCTTTTCCTATCACCCAGTGTTGGTTACAACCCTGTATGATTGTTACAGGTGTTTCTGGCCTAAACAGATCAGACAGTGGGGCCTCCATAGTCAGCACAACGTCTACTGTGGCTCAGTGGTTGGCTGGGATGGGACTGGCCGACTACGAGTCTCTCTTTACTAACTACGGTTACGACGATCTCGACTTTATTGTAAGTAGTTCTCATGTGTTATATACTTATTTAATAATGTATAAGTTGAATGTAAAATTATTTCCGTATTTTAATCTTGTATTGTAGATTATTTGGATATAGTTTAACCATGGCCATTTTGTTGAAGTAAATTTAATAGCAAGTAAAAATATATTTGATCCTACATCTTAAAAAGTGCAGAAACAAAAAATTTTAGCAACTTTTCCAAATTAACGCGGTGGAGGTTTGACTGGAATGGCTAACCCAGATTTACTTATCCGCCCAGTTAACTTCTGACTCTGAGTTTATTGTATGACCCTTTGTAACAACACTGATCTGTCTTACTGCCAAGTGAGTTATCAATTGAGTTTCATCATCATATATGAGTTTAAAACTAAACAGTGTTAATCAGGTTATTACATTTTGATAACTGAGCATATATTGACAGATTTAGTATCATCACTTATTCATTTTGATGTTATTACTAATTCTATTGTATTCTAAGAACAAAGATTATCTAATTGTTGTATGTTTCTAATCAAACAGAATGCCACATATTGTATGATCTGTGTGACACAATGGGACAGTATTGTCTGGGCTGCAGCAGTCAGTGTCTAGACAATGCTCAGTCTCAGCCACTGTGTGCCAGGTGCCCAGTGTTGTCTGGGCATTGTCTACTGCTCCCCATTGTCTTAGAGTCCCACTTAATTGGCTTAGTTTGGTATTACCTATTGACTATAGGAATGTCAATTAATAAAATTACAACTTGAAAGTAAGAAATTGTTGTTGTCTTTTTTGTGGTAAATTATGAGGTACATTTTTGTAACATTTGTTGTAGTGTTAAAAGTGTCAAATAGGATATGAATGATTTTCTATTTTTAACTGATTTGTGTTTTGAAAGTTGTCATTTCAGTGACATTGAGAGGCTATTTTTTTACAGTTTTTATTTTGTGCCAATAATCACTATACAAATATACTAAAGTAGGCCTACATCTTCTTTGGATAGACTTTCACCATCACTTATCGTAAAATTACTTAATTACGGACTTTGGATTAGACTTTTCTGCACAGTTAACTAATCAAGTTATTTGTGAGGAACAAATCAAGTCACATGATTTATAATCTGTGTGAAGTCATGTCGTCCTGAGGATGGCACTACATCGAGGCTGAAACACAGGTGTATGCTTGGGACTCGATTTTGACACGGTCATCACCAGAAGACCACAATTCTACATCTTCTAACACTTTTCAATATCTGCCCTTATGTAGTACTTCGAACGTTTCAAGACGGCTACGGTATTATATAAATTATATTAGAACCTCGATCAATTTTGACCAGGCGCTTTGCTCTCATCACCTCCCTTAGGCCCAATCAGAGATTAATGGAATTTTATCTATTTAATACAATCTATCATTCGTACCAGCGTAATTGCTTTTCATCCCCACTCTGTGAAAAATGCAATTAGTTAGTTGGTGGGCGCTTTTAGAATGTCCTCTCTGAATACTACTCATCCTAACACCTGTAGCCTAACGTTTTTGTAGCCTCCTCTTTGTTGTAGCCTAAATGTTTTTTTTTTAGCCTACTCTTTGTTTTTCCAAGTTTTTTTTGCCTAAACATTTTGGAATCCTAAATTTTCTTTTTATCTACACTTTGTCATACACACTTTTCCTACACGACGACTTAGCCTACATTTTATTTGTAGCCTACATTATTTCATAGCCTACACGTATTTGTAGCCTAAACATTTTTGTACCCTACACTATCTCGCAGGCTACATTTTGTTGTAGCCTACACTTTGTCATTGCCTACATGTTTTTGTATCCCACATATTCTGTCGTAGCCTAGATTTGGTTGTAGTTTACATGTAGATGTAGCTTTGATCTATTGTAAAATGGTGTTTGCCGTACTTGTAATACATAAATAAAGAAATTTATTGCTGTTGCAGAACGGTGTGTTGGAAGACTCAGACCTGGTAGATATGGGAGTCAGTAATGAGAAGGAGAGAGGCCAGATTCTGGAGGCTGCGCGCAGTCTGGCAGCGAAGGTTGTGTCTGCGTACAGACCATCCCCATCACCTGCGCCCCCACCTAACAACAACAACAACGAGGAGAGCAACGGGGGCAACAGCGGGGACAAAACTGACTCTCAATCTGAACCAGCACAGGTATGTTATTTGCAGCCTAGGTAATAGATTGTTGCAAACAGGCACTTAGATTGTTGAGTTAAAAATTTAGTTTTGCATATTGTTAATTTTGTTGCTAAACAGGTTAAGGGAATTGAAATGCTTGATTTTTTTCTGTGAACATGATACATGTATGGAAAACGTCAACAGACTAAGACAAAGAGTAAATTGTAACAATGCGTAATTAGTTTTTTCCTGCAACACTCATTATATAGAAAAGAAAAACAACACTTGCAGAACTCACAAATTAAAGAGGGACAAACTCATTTAATCGGTTGAGTTTTATAGACTAACAACTCAGACTCAGAGTATATCTTTCTTTTTTCTCAGACAACTAATTAATTATAATTTTAAACTATTCATCCATTTTCACGTTTAACTGGTGTTTTCAGTAAGTTGTGACTATTGGGATTTACTTGACTGGGCAAATCATTGTCCTGTTCTATCCCTTTGGATAGGTAACTTGCCTCAACTTTGAGAGAGGCTATAACAATGGAAGAGACATAATTAAAAATTGATTTCATAAACTTTTCAACTTTATCTTTCAGTAATCTTTACAAAGGAACTAGTAATTTCTGGACTCAAATGTTGCTGCCTGTATTTACCATGTTATTGTTGGTTCGCAGACAGTAGAAGACTGGTTGTCTCGCCTACACCTGCCGCAGTACGCCGACACATTCTCTAGGCACCTGTATACAGACATGGAGCGAGTCAGGCGCATCTGGGAGGTGGAGTTGACGGCTGTGCTGGAGATCAGCAAGCCTGGTCACCGCAGGCGCATCCTGGCGTCTCTACCTGCCTCATCACGTCAGCCGCCATCCATGGACTCCATCAACCAGGACCTCTCCAACCTGGTGGGTAGCTGTAGTGTCTAGAGTGGTTGTACACAATTAACCATCTTTGTCTATTTAACTAACATTATTTGATTTTGTATATGTAACGTACACTATAAACTTGGTCTTCTGGGTACAATACTGGTTGACACCTGTTCGGGTGAACTTCTCTGAGGATGCCTGTTTGCAAAGAGGCTGAAATGTCAACATTTAGCTATAAAAGTCTCTGTCTTTAACACAGTTGATTGACCCAACAAGTTTGTAGTTTTAACATACTTTTGGTGTAGATGTTTGTCTCCAAAATAAGTTAAATAATCTAAAGTAAACAACTTTTTATGTACATGTTTTGAATCGCTGAAACTAGGTTTAAGTAAATTTTTTAAAAATAAACTCTGATATTACGATTACGGTTTATTTGTGGTGTTGCTGACCTAGTAGTTAGAGTCTCAAACTTAAGTGCAAAGTTAAAAGTTTGATCCTTGAATGTGCACAAAGATTTAAGGGGTTTGGACTACTTACCCAAATCGTTCAATGGTCTCTTATAGTGTTTACCAACAAAAAATGTCTCATTCTTGGACCATCATATAATTCTTTGATTGTTACAGAAGAACAACATTCACCAACTGAAGGAGGAGATCAAGACAAAGTTGCCCTCCAACCAGAGCACCCCCGGATCCACAGGGACATTACGGCATAGTCACAAGAAGAGCCGCCCAGCGCCCCCGCCTCCTCCACTGGGCGGAGGAGACCTGGAGATACGAGAGCCTAGTCAGCTACTGGTGGGGGTCCCCGCTACACTCACTACACAATGGCGACATCAGCCACACTCACTGGTCACCGGACATGTCACCTACCTGGCCAAGGTAACTTGCTGCTGTAGTTGTCATGAAAGATGCACAGAGTTCGAAGGGAAGAGGAGGACAAGGAACTAAACTCTGGGAACCAATCTTTATAACAAATTGCTCCTCTGTTTCAATTTTTAGAGAGCTTACAATAATGGCATTCAATAATTTTAACTTTAAAATCTTAAAGATATTTGTTTAATATTTATTGAACAACAAATTTAAGTATTCTGTGCAATGATCCTACCTCATACCTAACCTAACCTAACCTTACTTGATCCATCCTCATTGTAAGGAATAGGCTCAAAGTCTTATATAGGCTATTGAGAAAGTATGTAGTTCATAAGTATTTTGCTCTCTTCTGCCATTGTCTTTACATAATCATTCTGAAATATCATAATATTATGCCAGGATTGAAATTAGTATTTTGTCATTTTACTTCAGAAAACCTACAACACTTGAACGTTATTTTCAGTATTTGGGTTCAACCCTTGTGAAAGAACTGAGGGGAACCGAGTCTACAAAGAAGAGTATTCAAAAGCTGAAGAAGTCGTCATCAAGTGATGACAAAGAGAAGGTCATCCCAGAGATCATCTTGGCTATTTCATTCAGAGGAGTCAAGTTTCTCAACCCCAGCAACCAGGTGAGACTGTCTTTGGTAGAAGCGGTAAAAGTTAAGCAACTATTTTTTTTTCATCATTTGAAGCAATGATAAAAGTTTTTAGTCATATAATTTAAAGCTGCTTGGAACTAAACGTAACTTTGACCTAAAATGCCTTCCAATAAATGTCTGTGATTAGGCCATTTTTTTCTTTAATGAATTATATTTTCATACTTTTTTGTAAAAGTACACCGAATGATTTTGTTGGTTTGAAGGGAATAAGTGAAATAGTAAACGTTACCGTGCATTAGCAGCATTAATATTATAAATAATTGCATTCTAATAATATTTAGGCCCTAGGTATTTTTTTTTTTAATAACTAAGACTGTCCTGGCTATTATAATTTTATCTTGTTTAAGAATTATCAGAGGATTGTAGTTTTTTTAAACACCTGTTAACCTCTAAATGATAAGGGATGGAAAAAGTTATGTGGATAAGGATAGAAGATAGTGTAAGGGAATAAGAATAAGAAGAGCCTATTGCCATTAAACGTTTAAATTTAATATACATTTTATCTACAATTTCTCCTACTCTCTTGCAACTACTTATTTAGCAGTATCCTAGTCACAACAAAATGTGTTTCTTCAATATAACAGATATTTAAACAAGCAGTTTGTCAAGTTGCTGATTGTTTATGCTTTGTGCAGGAGGTGATCTGTGAACATGACATCCGTAACATCCACTGCGCCTGTCAGGACGCTGAAGACCTCACACACTTTGCCTACATCACCAAGGATCACTCCAGCAAGTCACATTTCTGCCACGTCTTCTGTGTCAACTCCATGGTACGTGTTGCATCATACCATAGTGAAAATGTAGTTCTTTGGTATTATACCGACCATTCCAGCTATGTTGAGTTTGGTCACCACACCTAAGTTAGGTTAGGTTAGGTTAGCATAAGATAATCTAACCTAACCTATCCTCCTAACTTAACTTAAACTAACCTAACAGTTACTTAATTTAGGTGTGGTCCGTATAAAACCAAAGTACCAAAAATGCTTTAGACAGAGTAGGAAGTAGACGACTTTTTGCCAATGGGCCTAAATGGTTTTATGGATTTTAGATAGGATAACAGGGTTAAGCTTGCTACTTGATATCCTAACAAATAATCTTTCATGATACTACAGTAAATCTCCTTTTCCTCACGCGCTATATCAAAACTTAGATTAACAAAAATCTTAATTTTAAAAAATCTATCTGTAGAAATTAAGTAGGTATGCTACATAATGGGTAGTTGGTCCAGCTTGGCTTGAGCCTGTGAAGATAAAGTTCAGAAAAAAAACTGGTGATTATTTCAATAAATAGATTCTGCTATACGATTGTAGAATTTAGCATGACAGAGTGCAAATAAAGTGAAAGAACGTCTGTTGTAGGTCTCTTTAAACTAAAACTGCCTTCTTATTTCGATCATCGTTATTTCAATTTTTCATGAGTTTTCTTGTTTCAACTGAACATTATTTTCTGTGTTTCTTTCAGGATCAAGCGACTGAGGTGATTCTAACACTCGGTCAAGCGTTTGAAGTGGCCTACCAGATGGCGTTGCGCGAGGGCTGCCGTGACTCCAGAGGCAACGGTCACACCAGGTCTCGTAGTGTCAACCAGATCACGACCACCACACTGTCAGCGCCTGTGACAACTCAGCCTCAGACTAACTCACACTCACGTAGTCACTCGGTTAATGAGATCAAAGTGAACGGTAGCGTGACGCCCCCCACCACACCAGGTCGCGCACCTATAGTGACGAGCGACGACGTGTAAGCCACCACTGGGCCACCATTGGTTAATTGTTGAACTATGGTGAAACCTCTGTAGTAACAGGAATATGACGATTAACTGAATATGGATCTCAGAAATTTCTTTATAATTACGACAGTTTGGGCAACTTTTTAAATGTGTTTCTATGCTGTGGGCATTTTTAACGTTTTGTTGGGGAATGGTCAAAATCTTGGCCTTGTAACTATCTAACAACGCCCTTTTGTTAGATAGCATCACTAATTTATAGCCCAGTGACAAAAATGTCTTCTGGGTCCAAAAACAATCTTGCTTGAAATCAAACCAGTGACTTTCAGATTTTACGTATATGTATATCTACTCGACTAGATTTACAATTAGAATGATTTCAGTATAAAATAACACAGTGTTAACAAGAATTACACATGAATTTTCTTTTTTTTATGAACATAATGCTTATAACACGTCATATTATTAAAAACTGTAGTGTGGCATAAACCTACAAAAAAACTTGTTAATAGTGCATTTTGGATGTAACGGAAAACAAAGATTGATGGTTAATCGAGATTCCACTGTACTTCTTTGGTTGACTAAACTATTGCAATTTTTTGTCAAGAAAGTTTTTGCCATGGCTAGGTTAAAGGTGTCTTGGGGATGCTTGACATTTTGAGTGTATTTTGGATTTGATTTGTTTGATATATTACATTTTGTTTGCATTTAATTGCAAGCTAAGAGCTATAAGAGTACTTCAATTAACCGTTAAGTGCACAATCTGTTGTCTAAATAAAAATAAAATTGTTAAAAACTATTTAAGGGTTTGGCAGAAAAGTAAAACTATACAGAAAATATTTACTTATACAAATGGCCAGTATGGATAATTTGTCTTGTGTAAGGTTCGGCAATATTAACTGGCAATACTGTTTTGCTTTTGAACAATCAACTAGCAGTGGTATATTCTTCATAATTCATAAACATAATTATACTTCACTTTAGATTATTTTGTATAGCGTGACAATATTAGTTAGATTTATTATATATATCAGGGTTTTTATACTACTGTTTATCTTTAGATGGTTAGCTACAGTTTTAATCTGTATAGCGTACCTGTTAAAAACTAATTTCAATATTTATTACTGTCAACATTTGTTTGGAATGGTGGTCCAGTGGATTAATTTTACAAAATGAACTTTATTTTTGGTGTCCGACATCACCAAATAGACTGCTACGGTTACGTTATTTCTAAGTCATATTTTAGCTTATAGCCCAAAGATAGTGCAAATATCCAGTTAGTTTGTATTTGATTACCTATTTGTTGACTGAAATCACAATACCATTGACTGAAGCTATGAAAAGGTCTTTTCGAGTTGTATTATATTTATTGTGGTAAGGATCTATAAAACTATGGTTATAGTTTGATTTTTGTTCGAGACTATACCGTTTTACCCTTGAATTTGAACACCGCAATAAAAACCAATTAAGAACCTACAGTAATGTTTTAAGATCCAACAATTAGCATTGATACATATACTTTACATCATTTTCCAACCAAGCCATTCACTGCCAATCAAGTGAATGATTAAACTTAGTGATTTAGCATTACAGGGTTGATTACAAGTACAAATAACATATTATTTATCCAAACACCATTATAGACAAGCCTTGATTTATTTGGTCTACTACAGGTATTTAACTAGCATCATAGTTGGGACCCTCTCCGAGGGCCAATTTCAGGCAGCCCCTGTCCCTCCCCTATTAGGGGTGACCCTATTGTAAGGGATCTACCACAAAGTGAGCTAATGTATTGAAACTCAAACTTAACCACTTGTTTTTATTTGAAAAAAAAACCTTTTGTGCTCAAAACTGATGATGTTATTTTACAGTTTTTGTGCACTTAAAATTTTACTGCAATTTTTTAAATGCTAACAATCCTTAGGCAGGGTACTAAAAAATCATAACCATCAATTCCTAGCTTCGCAACACATTTTAGTTGCTAATCCCTCCATGGTTTAATGCTGTGATTTTGTATATACAGCTTGTAATGTAAATTGTATATTTTAGAGTTGAATATGTGTGCAATAATTAATTCAGATGTATTTATTGTTCTGATTTGTGAAAGGTTGCTATGTGAATTTTACTGGAATTTATTGCTTTTGAGCTAGATTTGTTTGCATTTAAGTGTGGTGTATGTGGAATTGTTTGAATTTATGTGGAAATTTAATTTGTAAATAAAAAAGACTAGAAGCATTTTTATTTGTGTATACACGATGCTAATAAAATGGACTAAAAAACTATTATAAATGGTAACTAAAATGATAAATTTGTTCAATTTGTTTTACTGTATTGTTTATGAGTTCAAAAAAGTGAAAATATGTAAATGAAAATTTATTTCCAAAAAAGTTTTTTAGGTACCCTAACGGTAATCAAATATGTTTCAATACGTATTTACTTGTAAAGTAATTTTTCGTATATGTGTAAAATTGATGTATGTTAAATAAAAATTGCTGGTTGATGTAAACAATATCATCAACATGCTATATTCATGTTAAATGTCAGCTAAATCGAATAAGTTACGTGTGGAATATGTTCACAGATATCATAGGGTAGGTCAAAAGTACAAGCATGAGAGACACCAATCTTAAAAAATTCCAAGATGTTAAATCACATCAAAATGTGAAAGAAATTGTATTTTGTTTTTAGGTTTTTGGGAGAAAGGTAGAAAATCTACTATCCCACTAAAAAAATATGAGAATCCCTTAAGTAAGAATTGTTTTAATAGTAGTCATAATTCCTAAACAGTTTGATTTTATTTTTAGATAACGATTTATTTTTAAAACTGTTGTATTCTTTTTTAGTTCTAATGTTTTGCTGATACTGAATCATATTGATCGTGGTTATTCTAGTTGTTAAATTTGCAAATAACTTGTACAGGTATTATATCATTGACTACATTTGTTGCCTTTACACTTGCTGCTTGGCTATGCATTTATTATATATATTGTTGATTCTAAGTGTTATTGTTTAAAATGTAAATGCTTTGATGTTCTTGCTGTTAGATTACCAGTTTAATTAAGTCCCAGTTTTCCCCTTATTTATTGCTTCAGTGAAAAAGAATGTGAATCAAATCTGTTTATTTGATCAATCAAATTGAATCAAACTTGTTGTGTTGTAAATATGTGTATATAAGAAATTTGAGACAATTTAGTTTAAATAGTTTTAAATTAATAATCAGTTTCTTCTCAGTTTGTGTATTCCATGTCTTTCACCTTTTTTTATATTATATGAGTAAACGTAATTAATATGAATTTGAAATATGTTTGTTTAATGAAGTGTAGAAGAATTCCCCTGGTTCAAAGACACCATTTTCCCAGTAAAAAAGTGATTAAAATTAAATACAGGATGTAAATTTTATTTATTTTTTAAAATTTTAATTCTTTTCTTTTTCAAAATTAAATGTTTTGATGATTGGTTCATAATTTGCATTAAAAATTATAAAAAAATACATGCACTTATTTTTACATGTCAGTAAATGTGTTGAGCCCTGAATATTAAATTAAAACAAGGATTATCGAATGCTCCTCACATTACCTTCCTAAGAATAATAAAAAACACCAACACAGGGCAAATAAAGAGTACAGCAAAAATTTACTGTTCTTATAAGAATTGGTTGTGTTTTATCATGCCCCTTAACTATAATAATTCATACTTTATTGTCTATCATTTAAAAGTTAATTTGTCGCCCCAATTTTTTAAGGTCCAAACTGATAATTAAAAAGAGACGGAAAACAAAAATTTTAAAAATTATCCACATTTAGCTATTGTATAGGTTTAATATTCTACCTAGTAGAATTATGTAGCTGTAAATAGCACATAGCATTTACTCACTGAAGCAATAAACACTTTATAGAAATTAACATTTCGATAGGTGTATAACATAAACATACTCGATTGGTGTATTGATATGGGAAAGCATAATAAAGTTCAACTTTGAATCTGCTTATTTCAAAGCTTGAAGTCATTAAACTTGTGTTTATTTTATTCAGCTACAAATTTGCATTTATAAATTTCCCCATGTTAAACTGTGTGACTTCATGAAACTATCAACATCGATGATTTTTGCCGTCCTGGCTTTGGTCGCTCGCTGTTGTGATTTCTTGTAATCAAATAATTTTAGAATTTACCTTTTACTGTTAGAAAACAGTTTTACCATAAAGTATACCCAAAGGAGCTTATCATAAGGTTTTATTTTTGGTTTTACATTTTAACTTTAAGCTTTGGCTGATAATTTGTTACAAAGGTAATACAACAATGACGATACTTTCAAAGTACAATAATTTATACCAAGTGTGTGCTATTTTGACGTAATTTCAAGTAAATGTTTTGTACAAGGTTTGACTCTGTTTTCAAAAGTTTATACTGTTTTGTAAATTCCCCTTGATTATTGTGTAAACGTAAAGTATACAAGACTGTATTATACAGATTTTGAGGACTATACACCAATGTTTCGATGGCCCCTTGCTTCCCTGTCTCTTCCCATATTGTTGTTGTTACATATCCTTTATGTATCATCTTTCTCTGTGTGCTAAATTCTGTTGTTTCTGTGGCAATTCTGCTTTAAAATAACTACAACACTTAGAACTGTTTTTAAAACGCAAATTTTATGCATTTTTGTTCAGTTTAGATTTGTTTAGAAATAAAATGGTAAAATGTCAAATGTTAAATTTTTTTACTTTTCAAAGTATTTTTTTTTATAATGGTTTATATACATTTTTTTGTAGCTTATTGATTATTTTATTCAATTTTCAAAATGAAATATAACTGTTACGTTTATAATATAACAATGCAACTTAAGACCTGTACATGATGACCACACAAGCTGTAACAATACTACAGACATAGCCACAGCCACAGAAATAACCGATTATGGATACTATATCTTGCACAATTCTATAAGTGTAACATTGTCAAGGCTTTCAGTTCCTTTTGTATCATAAGAGATTTAGCATTGTAAATAAGCTGTTAGGAACCAGGTTTACAGTTTCAAATCCATGTGTGCTTTTAAAGAAACTATATGAAATGTATATTTAGGTAATTAAAGAGTGTTTGGTTTCAAAAACCAGTGAGAAGAATGAAGGATCCTTCAGTGCTCAGTCAAGAACCTAATATACAAATATATCAGTAGTCATAGCAATTTATTACCGTACATTATCTATTTACAATCATTAAACAATGTTCTTTAATGTATGTAACTCAGAGAACCTATAGTTAGAGACCTTAAGGTTTATATTAAGCGTTTACTGAACATATTTTGTTTTTGTTGAATTATTTTTAAAGTGTTTTAATTGTTGGGGAATCAGCAAGAGCTGTGAAACCGACTATTAAATAATTGCTGAGCAAAACTTGTGTTCTTGCTTATTTAACCCTGCAGATTTTGATAAACATAAGATAAACTAAGATTTATCAATTTATCATACATGCAAAATATATAGGTTTCTAATAAATGCCACAACCCTTTCACCCATAGCACAGCTTCCATTTTTAACCTCCTTTTAAATTCTTTGATTAAAACCACACACAAACTCCTTGGTCAAGTAGTTCATTCATTCCCACGCCATTTTCAAAATGTTGAAAAGCGCTTAATCCACAGCACAGTGGCAGCACGCACTGTGTAGTGCCACCACTACCACTACCCTACAGTACTATACTATAGCGCACTACTACAGCGCTAGCCCCACGGCCACGCGCTACCACTCACCCGTTTAATGACGTTTAGCGCTATAACAACATCACAGGGCTAGACCCTTCTACAGATTGAACTGGTAACTCAAGTGGTTTGGTCATTATGGCGTGCCGCACGGCGCGGCGGTTCCATTCATGCTTTAATTGCGGGGCCTTTAATTATCATGCGTTATTTGTCGTTGCGCCAAACCTTCAATGAAATGTGTTTAATTTGTGTTTTTGAATTTACCGCCTGGGATTTTGCCCGGGTGTATTTGGACTTAAAATCTTGTGCAATGTGTTTTTTTACAGTGATGTGCTAAATTGGGGTTACTATAATTTGAGGTTCTCTGTTGTATCATAGGAAATTAGAACTGTTATTATTTGGGACACGGTCTGCGATTGTTTTAATTGATCATGACGGATTTTTAAGCTACCTTCAAAGTTTATGATAAAGACTGGAATAAAGCATTCACCTCATGTTTTAATGTCAGATTATACGTTTTCTTTCCAACTCAGTCTCCTACACTCCATGATTTTTAAACATAAAAAATACGTTTGCAACGCAGGTTAAATGATTCCACGTTCATTTTGGGCTTATCCGGGAATATTTTCTGGTCTCCAGTCTGCAAAAGAACAGTAATTCTATGACTTGCCGACTTGGATTTAGTCGTGTTGATATATTTCTCTGTTGGCTGTATATTATTGTATAGTAGAGGTCGTCTAGTGGTCGAAAACTCGACCAAAAATATGTAATGTACAAACTTGTCTATTTTAACCTCACGCTGTAAATAAAACACTTGTTTTGATTTTCTGCTTATGTTTGTTTCGTTGTCATTTCGTCACCAGCATGGCAACCCATAAGACCCATGTTAATGTTTTTTTTATTAATTTGTTGTGCTTATTTTTTACCCTATTTTAATTTATAAAGGGGTTCTGTGCATCTACAGGAAAATATCTTTCTAGCAGTATGCGTAGATTTTCCCTGCGATACACACGAGCTGAGAAAAAGGATTTTCAAGAAACATGCTTGCCCTTAAATATAAAAGATAATTTTTGACTTTTATTTGCTTAAATGACATTGCATCTCTTAGCATCCCATTTTCATTTGCAAGTCGCTGGCTGTTTATTGAAATCCATGCGATGTATGTATTCACACAATAAAAAGAACTTGCTGTTATTATTGTTTTAATCTACTCATTTAATTGTTACTCTTTATAAATTAGCATTATCTACTAAGTGGTTTACTTGTCGGATATGTAAAAACAATAAGCAATAAGTTTTACGGTGAAGTATTTAATTTGTCTTCTGCTGATTTGATAAATCTATGTTGAATATACTTATTTATAAGCTACTGTAATTCATTATCAAGGTACAACAATATAATTACGCTATTCTGGGAACACTAAATCATAAACCGTAGTCATAATTGCTCCAACTCGAAGCCGTCCCAAATTCGATACATAAGACGATCAAGTGCTCTAAGCTTCCTTTCCCGTTCAAGAAACTAAAAACCTGATTGCTTATAAAGCCCAAATAACCGGATTTGCCGCTTATTGTTTGGTAACAAGATTGCATATTGCGAGCCGCTCATGCTTCGCCGTTTCACTCTCTATTAAGATACAGATTAGCGCATCTTCCATCTTGTAGCACTAATCTCCGTATCTCCGCATGCTACAAATTGATCGCATATTCGGTTTAGGCAAATTGTATCCTGGCTTTACGTGGGGGGTTGATAAGTTAAAATACCACCCTTGATACGTTACGTGGAGAAGTTGCACCTCTTGAAAAAAATATTATTTATGTTTGATTTTCCATGATTTGATGTATTCTAAATTCCCTTCTCTACAATAATCTTCCTTCTGAATTCTTATGGACCTTTGAATAGGGGAATATATTTCACTATCTGATTATCGATTGAAATAGTATGTCCCAAAGATCTGTACCCTGGAAAATCAGCACTGATTCAATGGAATATTCAATTTTGTAAACTGACAGAGACACTTTTGAAAGTTGTGTGTTATTTAGTTAAGAGTGGCTTTCCGAGTTTCACAATTATAAAGCGCCTATTGTACCTTAGAAAGTCGATGTTTCATCGAGTTGTAGAGCGTTGTGGAAATGTGTAAGGGTATAAATCCTACTAATATTATAAATGAGAAAGTTTGGATGTATGGATGTATGTTTGTGACAAGTGAACGCGAAAAATACTGGTCGGATTGGGCTGAAATTTGGCACGATGATAGCTCACATTCCCGATTAACATAAGGCATATTCTTATTTCAAAAATCCTTTCGTGCTCCGCCCCAGTGGCTCTGGAGTTTCCCATGTTAACCTTATGAGAAATGGAATTATTGAATCTTAACAGCTGTTTCAATTAAACAAGTTGGTTCTGTTCTATGATGTTCAATAGCATTAAAGTTACAAGGATTACCAACAGGGTGCAACACTATTATTTCTTTTACATTTATGACAACAGCTAATTTGCAACCAAAAGGTGAGTGAGCGTAGCGAACGAACTTCAACCTGGAGGCGAGTTAACGTAGCGAACGAGCTAACCTGAAGGCAAGTGAGCGCAGCGAACGCGCTCCAACCTAAAGGTGAGTGAGCGTAGCGAACGAGCTCCAACCTAAAGGTGAGTGAGCGTAGCGAACGAGCTCCAACCTAAAGGTGAGTGAGCGTAGCGAACAAACTTCAACCAGGACGTGATTGAGCCATGCGAACGAGATAATCTTGAAAATTAAGAAGTTAAACGGAGCAAAGCCCGCGGGTTACAGCTAGTAAATAAATATATGCAAATATGGAGGGAGTTTTGCAATTAAATTATGGACATTATTTGTTGTATCAAATAATTAAGTATCATAAGTTGATGTACAATAGTGTATAAGAAACTACAGCAACAGTTTACTTGTCTACCTTGTGCCGCTCGCCACTGTAATCACCATAACATTTACTTCACGACTAACTTCAGAACGTAATTTTTTTCCGGAACTGAATCGGCCGTTCACTTTAGTCAGTACTGTTCAATTGGAGGATTTTGTAAACAATTTTCTTTCCTATTTACTGTATTTTCAGTCTTACAATAGAATAATGAGCGAGACACTCACTGACTATTTATTCCGTGGTCTTATTTTAACAACTATGTACTCTTATAAATTATATTTATGTGTCTTGGAGTTTTTTACCAGACCATTGATTAATTATGTATAAGTGTGTGTATCTTTTCAAATTCGTGTTATTTTTAATTGATTATATTTGTTTTAATTTATTACAACAAATAACTCAACAAGTCAAACTTATTTCTTATTTAACTTAACTTATTTAACATACAAACTTTTTCACATAAACGAGTACTATTTAAACGCAGCGTATGGGCGGTCAATGTTTTGACTTGGTATCTTGTCATTTTGTTGACATAAACTATCTATATATCTAATTCCGTAAGCCCAAAATTTTACAATGAAATTGTGAGCGAACTGGAGGCCGTAGAATGCTGGGAGGGGTCTCATTTTAAAGGTCTGGGCATGAAGTTTTGGGGAAAAATACTCATTTTTCTTACTTATGCACCAAAAGGTTATTACAGGATAAAATAAATCACATTTAAATAGCATGGGAATTCAGGTCATGTCCGATTTGTTTACTTTAAAACATGTGGTTTAGATTTATTTAAAGCATATGGTAATATCATTGACTATTGGCTACAAAAGTTGTATTAATAGTGTTAAAGGTAGTATGTAATATATGTATTGTATGTAACTATAGTGCATTTGAAAGTAAACATGCGTGCAAATGAAAATGAAACAGCATTTTGTGATTGGCTTCTACGCTTATATTAGGTAATGGAATCTTAGAGAGCAATAGGGCAACACCGGCAATTGACATTCCAGATAACTTTGTTCTCTCTGATTGTGCAATTGTTTATGGCAACTCAATAAATCCAGAAAATATTCAAAACTACTCCAATCAAATAATTGTATGTCCTTTAAATGAACATTGTGATAATTTAAATGAAGAAGTATTAAAAATCTACTACAGTAATTATGAAGTAGTTTCAGAAGACCCTACAGAGAGGTTGAACATACCAATTGAGTTTATAAATTCAATTACACCATCTGGAATGCCACTACACAAATTAGTTTTAAAAGTTGGTTCAATAGTGATGCTCATAAGAAATAGGGTCTGGATTAGTTAATGGAGTACGATTGGTTGTGTTGGGTATGTCTGAAAAAAGTGTAAAATTAGTAGTAATTACTGGAGTAGGGAAAGGGAACATATTTTTCATGCCAAAAATAAAACTAATATCTACAGATCCTAATATGCCCTTTAAATTTACAAAGGATTCGATTCCCATTGCGATTATCTTTCACCATTACTATAAATAAAGCGCAAGGCCAAACCTTCCCAAAAGTTGGAATTTATTTGAAAAAAAAAACAGTGTTTACCCATGGTCAACTTTATGTTGCTTTTAGCCGGGTAAAGCGGCCAGATGACGTTAAAATAGAAATAGAAACAAATAAAGACCAAGGAATGGACCAAAATGGATACTACACAACAAATGTTGTTTTCAGAGAGATTTTGTTACAGAATTAGTATTTTACAATTTGGAAGATGACATTATCTCTATGTGTTGTGTTTTTCTAAGTGAATTTGTCTATATAAAAAAAAAATGTATATATATTTAATTAAAAGTGAAGATTATTGAAAATGTTCTTTTGCTGTATTATGATTAGAAAATTTATGTTACAAACCCACCACATGAAGAGTCCTTTTGAATTTTTATCCTAAACAGAGCAGACATAAAAATGAATTATGCAGGTATGTGATAACTGTTATACATTATTATAATATACAAAAAATTTAAACGATAATTCAAGGTAGGGTACGGTAACCCATGAGACAAATAATTTGTACAAAATAATTATTAGAATATTTTACATATACTGAATATAGTGGCTATTGCCCCTACAAGCCACTAGTATGTATTTATTAACTATTTACAACAGTAGATATGCGTACAATAGTATATTGTAATTGTTAACCCTGTAGTTGAAAGGAATTTGTACAACAGACTCATACTCAAGTTCTGATTATTTAGACAATGAACATTGAAATTTTATGTTCTGCTCCACTGACAATGTCAATGCATGTAAATGTCCATGATAATAAATTATTTGATTTGATTGATTTTATTTGATATGTGACGTGACACAAGATGGCCGCCGTGCCAGGTGTGTAGTGTTGTCATCTGTCCCACATCTTCACGCTTCGTCTCCCATTGGCTCATCCCAGCCTCAACAATGACCAAGTAAATAGATCCGTCCCGATAACACAACAATGTGGCGGTTATAGAGCTCTCTGCTGGCGTTGTGGTTATGAATATAATATAGTCTAAAAATCATCAAAAACCCTAGCTTATAAAATGACATGTGAATTAATCTGAATAAAATTTTAATCCGAGTAAAATACTAGATTTTTTTTAATTTTACTTTAATTTGGGGGTTTTTAATTTTTTTTCAATATTCGTTTAACATTTGTGTTTATGTTTAACTTTTTAAAAACCTCTAAGTTCCTAAGGATATTTCTGTCGTAATCAAATCAAGCAAATCTGTCTGTCTGTCTGTCTGTCAAGCACTTTAAGCAAATTAGTTCATATTCCTTGAGGATACTTCGTGAAATATCACCATGGAAAAGGTTTCCTAATCAAACCGAGCCCTATTGTAACATAGCGACCACATACAATACCGACGTACTCAGTATGTGTTACGTTGCCTTATATACCTTGTCGTGCCTCGTGTTATAATTTTGTATGTTTTTATAAAATCCATATTTGCCTCCTGGATTGATAATGAGTAATAATAATAATAATGGGTTAAATACCTTATTTATGTCCTCAATCCAAGTCGTTTTTATAATGACTATAGTTTCGGGGCCAACAGCCCTATTGTCAAATTTTCTGTCTTGTTAAAATACTGTTAATAGCATTGGTCATCGTTGAATTTCACATATACACATACACTGACACACGAAACATTTATATTTAAACGTAACATTGAGAGTTTATACTTTTGGCCGGCCTAAACAAAAGTGATTATAACGGCCGGCCAAAAGTATAAACTCTCAATGTTACGTTTAAATATAAATGTTTCATGTGTCAGTGTATGTGTATGTGTGAACTTCAACGATGACCAATGCTATTAACAGTAATTTAACAAGACAGAAAATTTGACAACGGGGCTGTTGGCCCCGAAACTATAGTCATTATAAAAAAACGACTTGGATTGAGCACGTAAATAAGGTATTTAACCTATTATCTATAATATTAAAACAAAACAGGGTTTTTTTATTTCACGATTCTGAATCAACCACTCGACGGATTTTCATGATTGTTGTGTTGAAAGAAAGATAATTTTGAGAACTAGGGAATGTCGAAGCCATAATTTTAGTTTAGGGTCCCAGTTATTTAGAAATTAAGTTTTAATTTTTGAAAAGTCTAGCAGCCGACGCTAAGATTCTAAACTAGCTTATGGTGTAATATAATTTGTTTAACATAACAGCTGTAAACATTCAGCGTTTGTAACACAAATTCAGCATTTGGATAATAGTAAAAGACATACTAAGGGTTGACTTATTTATACTATGTGTAATGCTAATCATTGACACGTTCAATCCTTCGATAAGAGGATGACAGATTATTTAAATATACATAGGTAAAATACTAGGATGTTCAAAGGATTTTTTAAATAAATCTTTGTAATCTTCGGTTTAGTGCAATATAATTTTCTTTTAACTAACAGCTGGTTAAATATAAAAATGCTCTGTAGAACTATGAGGTTATTTTATTTACTCTGATTTGTCATTGATTTTTAGGAAATAAGTAAGAATAGTAGACCACCGAGAAAAGTAACACCATCGATGTATACATGTCGAGGCTCTGTACACGAGTCTTAAAAAAAGGATATGCAAACTATTATACTGCTCAACTTTTTTAGGAAAGGGTAGGAAAATCCATTTTTTACACGTTTTAATTCATCTTGGTTTGTTACAATCAATGTTTTTGAATGATTAAACTTTGTTTGGATTAGGCCCGGAAAGAAGGAGACCAAGAATCCTCAGGAATACAATTTTAAATTACCACCACAACCCAGACGGGTTTTATCATTGACGTAACATCAACTTACTTAACTTAACTTCACTAGCGTGTTTTACGTTTTAAATTCCTTCAACATGTGACCAGTTCTTTTGTTCAAATGAATATTATTTTATTTTTGAGTCAGCTGTTTACCAAAACAAACTATATGTTGTTGTTTTTACTTTTCTTTGTTTACACATTTATTTAGCAATTGATGCAGTGAAATTGATATAAAGGATGTGTGGACGATTCGTTTAATGATGTCAGGACACCAACGTTATAATTATGTGTACTGTGCATTTTATTGGATGTTTTCGTTTTATTTGAGGGAGTTTCTATTCAGACCTACTGGAAATTGTGTATAGTATGAGTAATTGTATTCTTTTGATATTGATTATGGAAGAGGCAGGTATGCGATGGAATTGGAAGGTGATATCGTTGACTAGGCCTATACACTTTCTCAATTGATAATTACTCTTTCTACTGTAGGCTGCTATAAAATTTGTCTTTATACGTGTAAGCTAGCTGTTCTCATTTATACACAGTTTTAACTGACTACTTCCGTACGTAGGACGGGCTAACACCTCGTCTATATATTAATTTGAAACTGTTTTTCTTTGTGACAGCTATTTTGAGAGAACGGCTGGGCGTAGAAACTCGGTAGAGGTGTCTAAAGAAAGGTCCTGGTCTGTAGATGAGCCATCAAAAGAGAAACATGGAGAATTCCCTCGGGGCTCTGCACCAGTGGCCTTTAAATTCCCATCCCATGTTATTCTTGTGGAGGAAAACGAGGTTTTTGCCACAGCTAATTTGAGAGAACGGCTGGGCGTAGAAACTTGGTAGGGGTGTGCGGTAGGGGTGTGTCTAAAGAAAGGTATTGGTCTGTAGGTGATCCCTCAAAAGAGAAACAATGTAAATTTCCTTGGGGCTCTGCCCCAGAGGCCTTAAAAGTTCACTCTGCAATTTTGTTTACATTTCGACCATATGGATAATTTTACACTACTTTTAATGAACCAGCTGTTAATATTAAAATTGTATTCAAAGGTCTACTGAAACTGTCAAAATTAAATGTTTACATTATTATTTATGATTTTAAATGGATTCTCCACTGCATGGCAAGTTTTTTATAGTTCCAACAAAATGATGAATTTATGATACGTTTGAAATGTTTTGTTCAAAAATCTATGCTTTATTGCTCTTAGAAAATTTTAAATTATGAAATATGTGTGACTTATCAATTTCAAAGGAACATATAACTATTCCTTATCGGGTTAGCTTATACATATTGTAAGGTTGGCACTTGCCTTTTTTCCTACTTTCAATCACCATTTATTTTTAAATTCAAGAAAGAACACCTGAGATTCATTTATTGGTATAACAGTTTTTGATAATCAGGTTGAAAATTGTGCCATAGATGAGTACGTTGAGGATGAGAGCTGTGTTCAAGTTTTGGAATAGACTAACTACGGAGTCTATGGTTTTGGTAAAGTAGGTGAACTAATGTCAATTCAGGTATTTAAAAAAAATGTGTACACAGTTTTTACTTTGATGTACACAAGTAGGTTGAACAACGCATCTAAACCTCACTACATACAAAACATTCGGAAACACAACAGTGTCATCACATCTCATCGCATTTCCATAATTTGTTACCAATGCTGGACTAGGTTATGGATTTGGTTCCGCAAATGTTTAAGATTTGTGATAAAATTTCCTACAATTATGGTTTATTCCAATCCACGAAATACATGCACAGCTTTATGTGATCTATATAAGGCAAAACTACCCCATAGATTAATGAATTATCAAGTAAGAACAGGATGATTAAATACATGGGTCGATGTGACAAGAGAAGGATTTAAAATTGCTGAGATCGAAGTAAGAACGTTACTGATTTCTGGAGAATCAGATATTTTTATGAAAAAAAATATGAAGATTTACTTATAAATCCGGATACAATCTGAATGATTTTCCTAAAGCAGATGGAATTAGTGGTTATTAATAAATATTGACTCTTTCCGTAACATGATAGGCTAATTATATGAACTCATTCTCCCATATAGTGAAAGTGGCTTTGGTATGAAACAAACTCATGAACAAACAATTATAAGACTCCTAAAAAACCTTTTGGGCAACCTAAATCCGATAAAAAGAAAGGTAAGAAATATTGTGTTAAACGAATTCATCAATCACGTTTTTTTGGGAACACAATCGTCATACTTATTATTGCTTATCCTCCCTTCATATAACTAAGATGTTAATGACTTCACTCTATCCAACGCAGTTAGCTGAATTTACATAAATCCTCAAGATTAGCCGTCGATTTCGACGGGGTTCCACTAGTTATTATTATTATTAATGTATGTTTCTTAATTTTGTCTGCCAAAAGTTTTACAGCTTTTGCACATTATGTGTAATGTTAAGGACCTTGCACATTATTGCATGCTGTAAATTTAACTTCATTGGCAAAATATTAACAGGATGGGTCTGAAATAAGATAGGTAGCAGAAATTCCAGTGCGGCAGTATATTTTAGGTATTTTAAACGTCACAGTACTTACAACAAGTATCAGAGATCACAAGTTCACAATGTTCCCAACAGTTCACAACAGTGTTGTCCTGAAGTCACAGTCAAGGGTACTCGTCCAGAAACCTCGGGTCGTGATGGATGTTGTGCCAAGCTGAGCTCGGGTCTGGGTCGCGCGTTAAAGGAGGTCGACGAGGAAAACTCGTTTGTCGAGACCTTGAAGTCTGTGACGCCGATATCTGATTGACTAGTGTTATTTTCCCTGTATCATCTATGATGTATTTATCGTCAGGATTATCGTGTGGTCTCCCGCTCGTTGTATCGGTTACTATCGTCGGCTTCCTCGTCGTTCGTGGCTTCTTCGTTGTCGGACTCTGTGGTTTTCTGCTAGGTTTCTTGGTAGGTGTGAACGGTTTCGTAGGTAACGGCCTCTTGCTGTACTCAGATGAAGTATCGTACGTCAACCTTGGTTGTGACGTAGTGGTAAACGTACTTGGTGGGTTTTGTGCAGGGATATCGGAACTTGTAGGATGTTGAGAAGTACCGTTGGTTGTATCGCATCCCTGCACGTAGAAGCTGACGTCACCACTACAGTAAGTCTTGTACACAGTCCACGCCGTGAAGCCACCCCCGATGCGACCACTGTGAGCGCGATGCACTGTGAGCGCACAGACCACGTCGTTGTCAATATCGTCATCCTCTAGCTGGGCGCAGGTAAGGCCGCAGGAAGTGCCAGTCCCCGGGGGCGAGCACCAGTAGATGTCGCTGATCTGGAACAGCCCGTGGTCACCACTTTTGTCAGCGTTGAGGCGACCCACGGCGGAAGTGTTGTAGCGGGACTCGTGCTCCACGATGCACACCCAGGTGGCGAGGTCTCCAGGTGGTATGTTGTGTTTGGGTCGAGATAACTCCCTCACCAACTCACACCTATCGTACACCTTACCTTGGGCTACCGTCGCTAGGAGGATGACGACGAGCGCGAGAGGAGCCATGACGTCGACTGAGTGGCGAGACGAGCGGTCGAGGACGTCGAGTGGCCGAGTGGTCCAGGCGACACTCAGATAGTCGCACTACTGCCAACACCGTGGGCAACTCACAACCAGCAATAAATATTTTGTAACTGTCCACTGGTGTAACAACACTCAATGAACATTCAGCCAGACGAGATTATTAATAAAGTGACTGATATCTTGGAGGAAATCAGCAATCAATTAATTAAAACCAGGAAATTATTTTACAAAAACTATATCTTTGATAAAATTGAGGGTCAATGAACGTTTTACTGTGCACTAAATGTTTAGAACTACTTTGGTATTTAGAGTGAGAAAACTAATAATTGGAGAGTTTTGTATTCCTACAATATAACATCACCACAGAACCACATAACTACAACAACATACAGTACACATATTTGCTGCACTGAATGACCTTAGTCAACTAAATAGACTGTTAGTGTAACGGACTGTGGGGAAATAAACAGCTTTATCAGCTGTCACTTATTTGTTTCACTGTTTGACTATCTTGAAGCTCGATGCTATAGTAGTTGTCATTCAAAGTCGTCGTTTGATGGTCGATACGATTAAGAATCGATTTAGTGTAATCAACCTTCGTCTTCGTCTCGTGTCAGTGAGTCTGGGGTAAAGTAGTGAAGTAGTGATTGATGTAACAAACGCGATATGTTTCTTACACTGGCCCATGTAATGTACCTAGAAGATCAGGAGGCAATAAAAATTGTTGAAATTGCACACTGTAAACTAGCTGCATTGTTTCATGGGTGGATAGATTATGCATAATGTAATTTTCAAACCCTAGTAGTCCATTCAAGGATTTGAATTTCTTGACAAATAAGATAATTTAAATCAGTGATTTAACAATTTTATAAAAATTTTCTTTCTGGGTAGCCGAGTGGTATTGTGATCGCTTTTAACATTAAAGTTCGATTCTGGGGTTAAATCAGTTTTTTACCCCTGACGGTAGCGAGTCAAGAGGCTGAAGTACAGTACATTACTTTTAAATATAATTTAAAGCTTATTTACCTATCATGAGGGAAAAATGTACTGATTCTGTAAATAAATGAATGAATAGTGAAAATAGTAAAACACAGCGAAGGGGCCATTCATTGAACAACTGCCTACATATTTAAAATAACAAAAATTGTAAGATTTATTTATGAAAACTTCTAATCATTGTATAAAAAATAAAACTCTTTACAAGGTAAGTTCTATATTAAATATGTCACTTAAAGGGAAAACGGTACCTATTGTCAAGAATAATTAAACGATATCATTTCACTCATTGCAATAAAATTATTCCTTGTCCAAACAGGACGGTGTTCACAAACTGACGAAATAAAACTACATTTTATAGTCGGTTTGGACACTGAGTCTTGACCCTCGACGCAGAAAAAAAAGGAAGTCTCGACGCAGAAAAAAATATTTTTCCTTCTATATAAAGAGTTTGAAAACTGTACTGTATAAAATAATCGGAATTTTCCTACGAATCTCGATCAATATTCTTATATTTTCTTAATTAAGGGCTAGTTCAACCCCCGTTCAACCCCAATCCCCACTTCTTCAACATTCTTAAATACTTTCACGAAGGCTGAATCAATTACCGGGAATTAAGCGTTAACGTCTAATCAAACCAGGAAATAATCAAGAGAGACTTGCCCCATTAAATACGCAGCATCTTGTACTCCAATAGCGATCAAAAGTGTGGAAATATTTGCCGATGTCAAGTGGAATGGAGTGGATGCATACAAAGGAACTCGTCGATGAGCGATGGATGGTGTACGTACGCTGTACGCTGGGCTGTGAGGGCTGCGTTACTGTGGTGCAACCTAGCGGAACAGTTCGGTATTTCAGCGACATCAACGCGCTCTTCATTCCGCCTGCGCGACCTCAACCTCGGCCGCGCGCTGAGTACTTATGTGACGCGATGTCGTAGTTGTTACTCGCTTTTTAGTGTGGAATAAAGTCTAAAGATTAAAGCCCTCAAAGGGTCCAAAAAAAGTGGTCCTGAGTTTTACCAAGGCTTAGCCAGGTAAGGATGATTTGCCGGCAGAAGGGATGTCTTTTTTACGTGTTATCCTAACCTAACCTAACCTACTCAATCATACAGTCTAAGAGGTTTTGCCAATTGGCTGAGTTAAGGCATTGGCTTAAGTAACCCATAGGGTGGCTCCCTGGAGTAGTTTGCGCAATTCAGGAATACCTGACTACCTGACTCAGGTCAGTTGGCGCAATTGATGCCCGACCCTAATTCATAATTAGAATACTTTAGTACAGGTAAAATTGGGTTTTATAAACAACAACATTTGTACATTCATGAAATTTCACCTGTGAGTTACTGTACTTATAATATGAGAAACGAAGATCCGATGAGTCCCCAAAATTTTGGGCGTCCTAAGGCCCTTTTTGGGGCCCTTTTTGTTACGAAGGGCCCTTGTTCCTGAATAATTTTGTTTTTACGTTTAAGGTCGAGCGAGGTGTGGTTTTCGATGGTTTTAGTTATTTTAAATCGATTGGGAGTAGTTTTAAGTGTATTAAACCACACCATACAGGGTGTTTCGAAATATTATTACTTTTTACGATATTTAAACATTTATCCATAAAGTAATAAAATTAGTTACGTCCATGCCCTATATAAAAGGGGATTATTGAAAATAATTGTAATTCTTTACTACGTAAGGGGAAAGGATCACAAGGAGTAAGAGAAAATATTAAATACCCCCGTCGAAGCAAACCTGCAGACCTAGCGAATTTCCGTTTTACTTACTTGATTTTCAATTAAATCTAAAATAGCATTGCGTTAACGATTACCTAGGTTTGCTGGTACAAGGAGGCTAATAAAGTGTGTTTATAGTAAAATATTAGCCTAGTATAAAACAAATAAATTTGACAAGTTTTATCAAAATATATCTATTGACAAACAAACAAAATCATTTTACACTATTCTACATAAGAGTAACATGGGAATTTTAAATTTACAATTTTAGTATTTTTATCCGTAACTAAAAACCATACAAAAACACGTTAATATACTAAATTATTTGTTTTAAGCTATTTAAAATGTTCTAGAAAAAAATTGGGAAACTTTGTGTTTTGAGGGTAAAGTAAATAAGAAAACCCCTAAACCTCGTTCCCATTGTTCAGGACAAAAATGCTTGTACCGAAAATGCTGTCCTGATGTCTTGGTGCTGTCCTGGTCGTCATAACCACGAAAGATAACCGCACTTTAATTAATTGAAAATAAGTTTGAGGAACTTAAGATACAAGTCGCAAACGTCAGTATGTATGAAAGGTGTTTTTGCACCACATTGTTCGTGATTTAAGATTGGTGTTGCCTGTTCTGCAACATGCAAGGTTTTAGGTTTGTAAAGGGGAATCCTGCTTGAACACCAACTTGGACAAAATCAGTAAAGATGGACAAGTTGCTAAGAATAATAAAATTGTTAATGAGTCGTCTGAGAATAATTATTGTGATGATGATATTGTAAAGAGAGATACTACGGAAATTGTAGAAAAATGGCTTTAGTTTAAGTACTTCATTTTAATATGTAATGTAAGGTTTTATACAAATACAATTGTTTTAATTTTTAATAAATGTAAAAAAAAATAACTTAAATAGCTACCTAAGAAAAATACAATATTAATTTGAAATTGGTCTTAATAGATATGCATAAAAAACACGTTAAAAGATTATTCACACCACCTTAAAAGTTGAAATTTTTTCTTAGTAATCTATGTTACTATGTTATAGTGTAAAACTTAATCCATCACCTTTTAGCGAACATCCCATATAGGAGATAAGCTATTACCGAAGGTCTTATGGTAAAAACATAGACCCGAAACCGATTTACGTTTTCATTTCGATGCCCCCAGAAGCCTAAAGCACCATCCACTCAAAATATTATATATGTGTTTATATACATATATATAATATAATATATCCATGTTATATACGTGTCCGTTAACATGATAGCTCGAGTAATTTTGGTTCAATTTTAACGAAACCGGCATAATCGGTCCATGGAACAGGATTTTATGTTGTAAAAATGTGTAATCTTTGACCCTCAAAAGACAAAGTTTCCCATTTTTTCTCTAGAGTATTTTAAAGAGCTTAAAGAAAACAAATAATTATAAACAAATAGTATATTTACGTGTTTTGTAAGTGTATTAGTTACAAATAAAATTAAAAAATTAAAATTCCATGTTATTCTTAAGGAGAATAGTGTAATATGATTTTGTTTGTTTGTTTATAGATATGTCTTAATAAAACTTGTCAAATTTATTTGTTTTATACTAGGCTATTAATATTTTACTATAAACACACTTTATTAGCCTCCTTGTGGCAGCGAACCTAAGTATTCATTAAACTCAATGCTATTTTAGATTTAATATGAAAATCGGGCAAATGAAAATTCGCTTAGTCTGCAGGTTTGCTGTGACGGGGGTATTTAATATTTTCTCTTACTCCTTGTGATCTTTCCCTCTTATATTGTAAAGAATTACAGTTATTTTCAATAATCCCCTTTTATATTGAGCATGGATGTAACTAATTTTATCACTTTATGAATAAATGTTTAAATATCGTAAAAAGTAATAATATTTCGAAACAACCTGTATGGAGTGGCTTAATACACTTAAAACTAGTCCCAATCAATTTAAAATAACTAAAACCATCGAAAACCACACCTCACTTGACCTTAAACGTAAAAACAAAATTATTCAGGAACAAGCGCCCTTCGGAACAAAAAGGGCCTTAGGACGCCCAAAATTTTGGGACTCATCGGATATTCATTTCTCATATTATTAGTAACTCACCGGTGAAATTTCATAAATGTACAAATTTTGTTGTTTATATCGAGTGTTTTTGTATTATTTTACCTGTACTACTTGGTGCGTTTAAGGAATTCGAGGTTGATCTACTGAAAATATCACGAGAACTTTATAGTGGACTACCGGGTTAAAACCCCGCCAATAACCGATGACCCCTAGCTTCTTGATGTAAGTCAGTTCGAAACCCACCTATCTAGAAAACAAAAACTTATATGTATCAGTCGGGGAAATCTTATACGCTCCTACTCTGTGGTTTGAAGTGTCTCTTCCGCCTAAGATCCATGGGATAGTTATTATTAACTTGGGCTTTCAGAGTGTTCATCCA